GGTTGGGGGGGGGGGCTTTTTTTTAGAGCCAGGGATAATGAGTTCACAATGCGACTAAAAAACAGTTTTGTGAATGTGTTTTCATCCGATCCTTGCAAAGGGAGAATAAAGTTGTTCATCGTTTCACCGCGGTGGAGTTGGGCTTTTAAGGAGGTTTCCTTGATAGTGTTCCGTCGCAGTTTTCCCCTCTTTAAATGCTCTCATGCACCCACCATTGCCTCGCCACTTTGATCTGTGTATCTCTATTGTAACTGGAGATGCTCTGCAATCTCTGTATCGTGGCGATATTAATATTTAATCTGCTGCTGAATAGCAGAGGCCCATTAGGCCCCCTGACGCGGCAAGTGGGAATTGTCCAGAGGCAAAGTGATACAGCTGGGCAATGAGCAGAGGGTTGGACCATAGTCTCATGGGGGAGGAAGGGGAAAGTGGGGGGGGACGTTGTGCATTAATCATTGTGGCTGTGCGTGTGCACGTCGGACAGAACTGTATAGAAAGCATCAATAGTTGGGACAAATGTTGGTTTTATTAGGTGAACGTTCAACTGGTTTGGACTTGTTAAAAGAATTGTCAGACCTTCTTGAAGATTCTTTATTTTTTTCTTTCTTTTTATTCCCAGACACACACGCAAATACTCTGACAGTCAACTTAAAAACAGTGGTGGATGTGCTGTTCAATTAACTTAATGAACTCAGCAAAGTGATCTGTAAATGCAGCTCTGGGATAATCCTAACAAGGAAAAAAAAACAAAGAGAGAGATGGAAAAAATATTACTTAGCCCCCTTTTCCCCCTCTCTTCTGCACTATAGCAGATGGAGTCCTTGGCAGCAGCACTGCAAATGTTTATTTGTGTGTTTTCACTGGTAATTGGAGGATTTTAACAGTCATCATTGTCAGGCTTATAATCACCACCATAAAAGTGCCTGTACGGCAGTAAGTAGCTGGCCTTTTTTTTTTTTTTGTTCCTAACTAGGACCAGACTAAAATTTTGGTTTCTTGTCCCCGCATCAGAGAGAAGGGGTGTAAAGGGTGCTGAACCTGACCCATTTGCCTCACAGAGCAAAACAGTGGTTAACCTGAAAGATCTGCAAATTGATTTGACAAGGACGTTCACAGCAATTAAAAAAAGAAAAATCCAAATCTTTTAGCGTCTGAGCGTATATGAGAGGGTTTTAGCGTAATAAGTGTCTCTTATGGCTCCTTTGGAAATAAATGAAGATAATTTGGTTGAAATTGGTGTGACAGACGGGTAATTTGTGCTGGAGTGTGGAAAGCAGCAGTCAGTTTGAAGGTGTGGGATGTGTTATTTTGAAGGTGATGTGTGAGACGAGCACATCGCCTCTGTGAACTCAATCATATGTTTTGTTTTCTTCCGTTCTTTATTTTGTCAATGACTTATTTACTAACTGATCCTTTTTTTTCACCCCCCCTCCCTCCAATTATTCTTCCCATTGATGCAATACTTTGAACCAGACTATTTAATTGAATAATAAAATGTGTCTTCAGGTTCTCTGGAAGTCAGCACTGTGGACACGTGCACTGTGCCTACCAGTACAGAGAGCATTACCACTGCATGGACCCTGAGTGTAACTACCAGGTGAGCGTGAGTACTTTAATATTTTTTAACATGCACATTTAACATTTATTCAGAGTTCAGGCAAATATCAAACTGCCACCCTCTTTGGTTGAGACCTGCTAGTGATCATAAAATAATTTATTTTCATTAAAAGAGCACGGAGTGATTTATAGCTCAAGCTTTGAAGCTGCTTTAAAAAAAATTTTTTTTTTTGGGACACAATAAAAGGGCTGCGATGATCCGAGGCTAGACAAATAGGATGTGTCTTCCTTTCATTACCGGCCACACCCAGCCAAAGTTTACACAGATGAAAAGTTTATTGGTTGTTGGCCTGCTGAACAAGCTGCAGATATTTACATCTGTTCAGTTTTTTTTAGGCAGGCACAGCTTATCTTTAACAGTTTTTTTAACTGATAATGCTAAAATGTGGTTCTTTTATCTACGTGTTCTGTTTTTTTAAGCCACTGCCACTGTAAGAGGCCTGCCTTTAATCCACTCTCACATTATTAATCTTTCCCTGGTCCCACAGCATGTCATGTACACCACAGTACGGGGAGAAAAACACAAAGCAGATCATAAAACAGGCCTTGTGTTTGCTGAAACATATGGCCAGAGGGAGTAAGAAAAACACGGGTAGATTTGTCAAAGATGTAAAAAAAAAAATCTGTTCAGCGAAAGAGCGCTGCGACTTCTCCCTTTCTTCACAATTTTTTTTTCTCTGAATTGAGCCGTCTTTGCTGTAATCTTCCGCCTGCTCTCGATCTGCACAGATTACCTCCCAATAAATGTTGTTTATGTGGTGAGAAGCACAAATCTGCGCTTTCATTTTCTGCATGAATCCCACTTTACAGCCTGATGAGACACATTCTTGGAGAATACAAAGGAAAATCATTTCATGTCATTATTTAGAGTGTTAGTTCAGGTTATCATGGCAATTTCCATGGTCAGGCCCACATTTCTCTGTTACTTTTGTGTTGCGTGGAAACGCTGATATGCTTTGGAAGGCAGCGCTCGGGATGTCAATACACTGAAAAAAAAAAGTGCTGGCAGGCTGCGATGAGCAGCCCTTTTCAGAGCGATAACTCATGAAATGTTACATGACACACACTCCTGGAATATTATCCCACTGCCAGCCTGCGGGCGATTGGCTGAGACCTAACATTCTCCTTTCATGGGCTTGTACATGAGTAGAGAGTGTGCATCTTGCCACACTAGTGGGAATCCTAAAATAAATGTAGCAAGTGGCTCCCAACCTTCATCACCACTCAACTGAAAATGAGATCTTTTTCCCAGTCAGCTCTCTCCATGGCCTATTTTGGACGGCTTGATGGATCGAATGTACCATGACCACAGTTCAACTTATCTTCCGCTCATCATCCCACGTTAAATACCAGAAAGCTCGTTGTGCAAAACTCAGATCTGGGTTTTTCCACCAAATTAAAAAAAAAAGGATTCAGGAAGTGATGAAGCATTAATTAGTTGGAATAAAAAACTAATGAAGTGTGTGCTCCAACAAGAGTCAGACATTTTAGAAACATACAGTGGGAAACAGTCCAAGAAAAAAGGAAATGAACAGCTGTGTGAGATCTTAGCTTTTATGGAACACATGACACACAGCAATTACCCTACTTTGTACAGCAATTAGTTTCTTTTTAGAATAGTTCTTTCTGATGTGTTTTTTTCTCTCTCAGCTGCAGATAGACGTGGATTAAAGACAGAACTGTCTCATTGATTTAAGCTTCTCCTGTTTCAGTTTCTGTAGCATCAGCTTAAACCCAATTACAGCAGATTTGGTTGCAGCAGGTCTCCATGGAGTGATATTTTTTTATTTTTTTCCCCCCTTCCTGACTCCTGACTGTGGGAAGAATTTCTATTATTTTTTTTATTTGTATATTTAGATGTAATTTTAGAAGGCGGGTCTCATAGCATATTCATTCATCATTACAGCTGAAACCTGCACCAAAAACCGTGCGTTCATGCTTTAATTAAAAATGGAATCATATCTCGGTGAATTGAAAGGGAAAATTTTTTTTTTTTTTTTTTTTGTTTTGGTTGACTTGTTTGTTTGTTTCTGTTGTCTTGTGTTTTCCCCTGTGCACGTCTGAGAAACCATCTGCACGGAACATAATTTCTTCCAGACTGAAAAACACAAGAACTGTGATCTTGCATGTCAATTGATCCATCTTAATTTGAAAAATACATTTTGTTGAAAGATAATAATAATTTAAAAAAAATAACATAGAGACAAGTGCTGTTTGGCCACATATTTCATGTTCAGTATGGTAGCTTCTCTTGCGGTCAAAGACTTGCAGAGCCTTTGGGGCTGCTTTTGGAAAGGACACAACTGTGATATATGCAGAGTAAATCAATAACCACAGAACGTGTCATCTCAAAGAAAAAAAAATGCGACGTCTTCTCCGTTTCAGTGTATACATGTACATCCAGCCCCAGCTGCCAACTGGCTCCTGTGTGCTGCAGCTGCTGCCTCCACAGAGATAAAGTGACTTGTTGCTGATTCTGTGAATGGTTTAAATAAACACCAACCTGTTGCTGTACCCCCAACCCCCCTCTAATTTTTCAGAGGTTTACCAGTAAGCAGGATGTGATCAGGCACTACAACATGCACAAGAAGAGGGACAACTCCCTGCAGCATGGCTTCATGCGCTTCAGCCCTCTGGATGACTGCAGCGTCTACTATCACGGTTGCCACCTGAATGGAAAAAGCACCCATTACCACTGCATGCAGGTACACCATACCGACTCACAACTTCACAGCCACCTACACACAGTAATCCCACAAACTTCTATGACGGGGCACGCATAAAGGCGTGTGCACGCGAACACACAAAAACACCTTTGTGCATTAAATACTGTGTTTTAAAAACACTGTTTATGTGAAGAAACGATGAAAAATGTTGCAAAACTCTGTGTGGATTTTTTTTTTTATTGCCACATGAACACACGTGGTTAACAATAAACCAGAACTCATTTCTTATAGAAACAAAGGTCCCTTTAAATACCTTTTACATCATAAAACTTTATGCGCTGTTAGGGAAACAAAAGCTTCTGCAGAACAACCCAACAGAGATACATGCCTTGTTTTTATCTCTAAAATAGGTTCACAATTTTTTTTCAAGTAATTAGAATCAAGTAAAATAAAATATAAGGGTGAATCCCTGTAAGGCTAATAGTGTTATAGCTTTCGTCTCACTCGCTCGCTCCTTAATTGGCCTGGATAAAATTTAGCAAGGTGTTTATATAAACTACACATTTTTCATCTTTTAGTAGCAAGCAGCCTGCTGAAGATTGTTCCCCTCTTCTGGATTTGTTTAATTCTTTTATTCATCTGCTGTGTATCACTGAGCTGAGGGCAGCAGAGGATGGGCTTGTGATATATATGTTTTTTTTCTTCTTTTTTTTTTACAACGTAATTGTTATTAAGACATTTCAGTCTATGTTTTAACTGTCGCTGAGAACCTGCAGATGTTGGCATCGGCTCCCATGATTTAGGGCGGAAAAAAAACAGAGTGACATTTTCTTCATTGTTTGACTCAGTATGGAGAAGTTGCCCGGTTTGTGTGGCTGAAACGTGTCACAGATGATATACAGTTGCTGCTTTAAATTCAAACATTACCTGTGTTTTCCCCCACATCGTTGGCTCAAACGACTTGTTCTTACCAGAACATTTTAAAGTAAAGACTAAGATAGGGATCTTTCTCTCGTGTGGTTTTCTTTTTCTGCCCCACCACCCCTGATTTTTTTTTCTTCGAGTTACAGTAAGTTTTGTTGCATCTCCACCATCTCACTCCAAATATGATTTTCATTTTCTGAAAGGCTGCTTTGCCAGGAAGATACTGTAGTTTCACAAGCCTTCTGTGACCACCACCGCTTTCAGTCCCTATGTTTTTTTTTTGCGTTTTTTCTTTCCAATTGTCGCAATGATGACAAAGATTGTTTCCAATTTCGGGGTTATTATGAAACCTGTAATGCTCACATGTGCATCACCACAAATTAAAACAATGAATGTGAGAAACAACCTTCTTCTTCTCATTTCTAGGCCACTAGCATTTTCTTAACCACAGTGTACTCCCTTCTCTATATCTTGTACAGTAGATCAGGTCTCTTTAAAGCACAGCATTTCAGAAGCTGCCTTTTTCGAACCTTTCTTGCAAAACGAAACTCACATGCACGCTAACGGCCCAGATCTTGTTTTCCATCACCGTGCTTTGTCTCTGCTGCGCAGGTGGGGTGCAGCAAGGTGTACACCAGCACCTCAGACGTCATGACCCACGAGAACTTCCACAAAAAGAATGCCCAGCTGATCAACGACGGCTTCCAGAGATTCCGAGCCACTGAGGATTGCGGCACGGTCGGGTGTCAGTTCTACGGGCAGAAGACCACACACTTCCACTGCAGGTGCATGGAACTCACAGTGTTGGTTTATTTTTAACTGTAATACAAATTTCTTACACACACACACTCACACACACACACACACACAAAATTTTTTAAATCAGCATAAAAAAATCAACGAGCAATTACTCTTTCTAAAGCAAAAAAATAAAGATTCTGAAGTGATTTAATGACTAAGAAGAGTATTTGACAATTATAGACTTAAAGTTTAGAAGAAAAAAGTTCACAAAACTGGAAAAAATATGTAATATGTAATAATACTAGAAATTTAACTCTATAAAATCATCCATAAAGTGGGGGGTTAGTATTATACACAGGTTATTGATAATTAGATTTTTAATCATTTTTAGCTCAAAAAATGATGATCGTATTATACTTAAGTTCGTATTATACATGAATAAATACGGTACATTGAAAACTAGATTAGTAAGAAATATTTTTGAAGCCAGTTTGAAGTTAGCTTCAGGCTTTTATTTTGAAGAGTATGCTTTCCAGAAGTGTTTATGTTGCATAAATCAAACCATACTTGAAAAAAAATTTGGTCACCAACTTTCCTATAGTTTTAATTTTCACGTGGGATATAGCTATAAATCCTCTCAATGACTAAAATCTGTACTGAAATTTCTAACAGAGCACTTTGCCTAATGTTTGTTAATTTCCTGTTGTCGCTTTTATTTTTCCAGACGCCCAGGCTGTACATTCACTTTCAAGAACAAGTGTGACATCGAGAAGCACAAGAGCTACCACATCAAGGATGACGCGTATGCCAAGGATGGCTTTAAGAAGTTCTACAAGTATGAGGAGTGCAAGTACGAGGGCTGTGTGTACAGCAAGGCCACCAATCACTTCCACTGCATCCGCTCAGGCTGCGGCTTCACCTTCACCTCCACCAGCCAGATGACCTCCCACAAGCGCAAACACGAGCGTCGACACATCCGCTCCTCCGGTGTGATGGGCCTCTCCTCCACCTTCCTGGCTCCTAAGGACGAACCCGAGGAATCGAGCAACGATGACCTGATGGACTTCTCGGCCATCAGCAGCAAGAACTCCAGCCTGAGTGCCTCCCCTACCACCCAGCAGTCCGCCACAGTTCCACACATGCTGACCACACCCACCACCGCCTCTTCTTCCATGCCGGGCCACGCCCTCAAGCCCACCCAGTCCATGCCCGGCGTGGGTCAGCGCATGTCCAGCCTGCTGACTCAGGCCCTGCCCAGCAACATACCGGTCCTCGCTCTTCCCAACACCGCTCTGGCCACTTCCAACCCCTTTTTCCCCCTCATGCCCAGGCTGCCTCTCCAACCGCCTCCACCAGCCCCCAGCCTGATAACAGCCGCGTCCTCTGGGGCCCACTCCCTGCCCACCGACTCCCTAACCCAAAGCGGCTCCACCGTGGGGGGAGACACCCCCATGCCGTCTACCCCAGCTTCCTTCTCCACCTCTTCCATCATGGAGAAGATCTCAGCAAGCAAGGGTCTGATATCACCCATGATGGCAAGGCTGGCAGCTGCTGCCCTGAAGTCCCCCAACAACCCAGACGCAGGTATATCACTTACTGTGCATGTGTTTCACTCAGATACAGGGAAAAAAAGTGTGACCTATTAAATTTCAAAAATTCGTTCAAACATTTGTTCAGATCTTTGGAGGAGGAGTTTTCAGAAAAATTATGGGCAAATATTTTCTCAGCTTTTCAAACAATCTCACTTTAGAGAAAACGATTATTGACCAGGCTGACAAGCTAATAGCCAATCCAAGGGATCCAAATGGGTTCAAAACGAAAATGGATAGTTACCAACGTGAAACAACTCAAACCTGAAAATTGTCATCCCTGTTAATGCAAACACTTTTTCACAAACTGAAAAATGGGTATTACATGATCAAAATTAAACTCATTCAGAGCTATCTACAACAGGTATGATATTAACCACAGAACCCAACTTCAAAATATTAGATTTAATGCTTTAAGGTCAAATATTATCCTTGCATATTTTATTCTGTTATAGCCAGAGATAAAAATAAAATTTAAAAAAAGCATGACACTCAGTAACTTTCTTAGTGATATGATAACCAGAGAGAATACACTAAAAGTGATTGTGGACGGGGAAGGCAAAGTGCACTCAGAGGTCATCGCCTCCCAAAGTGGAGAGAAAAGCAGGAGAACCTCTGCTTTCAGGCTTAAAGGGACAAACCAGAGGCATGGTCCTCTGCTCTGGATTTGTTATTGTGTTGATCGTTTGTTAGATACCCACAATCCATTTGGAGATAAATGCGCTGACAGGGGAGAGTAGAGCCTGTAAAAGTCTCTTATGATGTTCAAAGTGGGGGGCTCTTGGGGGCTTGTGTTGAACAGGTTTCCTCATCATCAGTCTCTTATCTCTGTCTGCCCTCGTTCCAGGCAAATGGAGGTGGAATGAAATTAAGTTCAGAAATTGCAAGAAAAAAAAACATTTTTTGTACCCTCTATGCAAACTGATTAAAAAAAAAAGAAGTGAAATCAGTGAGGTAGAAATGACTCAGTGCACCAGAGCAAGGAAACAGGATTTGATACAAGAAAGACACACATCAGCAAAGACGCACCGTTTTTGAATTTCTAGAAATCGTCCCTTTTCACAAAAACACGTTGCGCGCAAACATGATCCGAATAAGTTTGGAGGTAATTGGCTTGTTTATCGCGTTGCTCCAAACAAAACCTTTTCAAATGAAAATAAAGTCTTTCATTTTGATAATGCACCGCAGAGCATGCGGTCGCATTCATTTAGGAAAGGTTTACCCGACTGAGCAGGTGGGGGGGGTGTGGATTGTTAAGACGGGGCCGGCTCCGGATGCTGGTAGTATAGAGGAAGGATTACAATTCCTGATGGTGTTCCCAGAGCAGGACAGGCCCGGGGAGAAAGCCGGGGCAGCTGCTCCGGGGAGCCGCGCTGAGCCCAGGCTGTCAGGCTTAGCTCCACCTTTGGGCCTCCAAGCAGGTAGCACCAACGCTGGGAAGGCACCTGCTGAGGGTGGGGCCTCCACAGATGGTCCCTTCGCCGCCCCTCTCATTTGACTACAGCTCAGATCAGTCTGCTCGGAAACGCACGGTCTGAAATAAACTCCCCACTCCTCTCAATCACATAGGTTTTCGTAAAAGTTCACACCGACACAGGATGGAGGGGTAGCTGTGGTTTTGTTTCTCATATTTGCTTCATAAAATGTGCGAGCAGGACATTTGGGGCTAAAATGAGGAGGAAGTGGTTTGTGCTTCTCTCTCGAAAAAAAGGTGTGAAAAAAAGTGTGTTTGAAGTTATTTTTCACAGTGTTTATTTTCTCATCGGGTTGTGAAACTGCCTCTTTTACAGTGAAATGAGCCTTTTTCTCATTTTTGCATTCAGTATTTCTCTCTTTTTTTCCTCCTTTTTTTATTAATGTTCCACTCTAATTTACCCCTAAGTGTTTTTCCCAGAGATTCAAGCATCTGAAGGGTTTACTAATTAGACACACGGTACAAATGATCTTTCACAAGCTCTGTATCTTATCCGGAGTAATTACATGGTGGTGCATTATTCCTGGATAATTTCCAGAAAGAAGCTGCTTTGAGTCAAACTCATTTGTTCTCCCTCCTCAAGGAAGTGAATAGAAGAAAATAATTTCACGAAGTGCGTTTTTTTTCTCCGTAATCCAACTTAAAAAGTCAACTTATCTTGGCATTTAGAGAAATAATATTATATCCGGCTTTGTGATCATATGCAGATCATACAGTGAGTGGCTGCTCTTCATGTAAGACGCTCTCATTTTGTCTGCGAGTTGATTTAATTGCCAATGACAAGGCAGGATTTGTCTGGTTAGTTAATTTTGGGTGTACTCTTATCAAGTTGGGGGAAGGGATTGAGACTTGGTAAGCATTCGGTGACCTCAAACCAGACACATTATTGTTTGACTGCTGTTTTCCTTTCAATCCCACCCCTTGTCCCCCACCCCCCAGCCCCTCCAACCTCAGCCTTTGTCAAACTGAACTGACACTGACACTGACACTTCCCCATCTCGTAGCTTTCAGCTGACAAGGCCCAAGACTGGCTTTTCCACTCCTATTCTGCCTGATATGTCTTTGGGTCATCTTGTAACGGGGGCGAACTCTGCTCAGTTTCCCCCTTACGTAGGCTGGTCTTGATGTGTTTTATTCTCCTGCAAAAAAAAAAAGGAGGGGAAAACAAATGAGAGAGTGTCCTCACCAGGCTGAGGGCTAAGGGCACACACTTGGTTGCCCATGACCTTGCCTGTCACTATCCCTCAACACCGGCTCTGATTCCTAAACAACAGATTCTTCCCAAAAAACCCAATATGCTGCCGGTGCGCTCCAGTTGTAATGTCTCAGAGGTGGCACACCTCCCACTCACATTTATTTTTTAAGATAAACCACCATTTATTGCAAGCCAAAAGCTCAGCTTTCTCTGTATAGCCTGAGGGCAAATTAATATTTCAATCCCATGGGATTGGGGAAGGGGGGGCAGAATTCACCTTCCTGTCAGCGTTTTTACCTCAGGTCATCCCCCGGTGTTTATTTATTTCAATTCAGCTCCCCCGTCCTCACACAGAGCATTTACTGAATACCTATTTGGAGGAGACTGTGATAGAGAGGTCACGCTGTTTGAACCAATCTGATTGGCTGTCATCTCCAATCTGACCGACATGGCGCTCCTGTTCCTTGTGGGTATGCTCCCTGGCACTGGCCGCCATCCGTCGACAGGCCAACGAGAAGCCCGAGAAGGTGGGAAGGGAGGGGGGTGGCCAATCTGAGACTGCCACTTTCCCTCAACATTAGCATCTCACTTAATGACCAGTTAAGGGGCAGCTTGGCAAATGAGTTGTGACAAGTGCTGCAGAAAAAGGAGTCTTTTTCCCTCATATCTCCCGCCTCTCAATCACCATTTAAAAGGCTTGACGGCCTGACATAATTTCGCAATAATTATCACTCAGAGGATTCTTTTCGGGCCAGGACAGAAGTCAGATTGGATCTCGTCACAGAGCAGTAATGCTGACCAACAATAACTTTCTTGTCTCGTCTCTTCTCTCCATCTCTGGCGTGATCCTCAGGGAATGGGCAGCCGGCTTCAGCCAGCCAGTTCAATCTGGTTCAAGTAAAGCAGGAGCCCGTGGATGCCAACTCCGGGGCTTCCCAAGACTCCACGCAGGAGCACAGCCTGGACCTGAGCAAGAAAGACCACAGGTAATTCAAGTTAACTCCCAATTTTAAATCTAGATTTTTGGGTTAATATTAATAAAATTACTTATCAATCCTTCAACACCAGTTTTTCCTTTTTTTTCTTCAGAAGACAGCCTTTTTCTTCTTCATTAAACTTGCACACCTTGGTGATAAATAGTAATATTTACTGTTCTCATGCAAATCTTGACGAAACATTGTTCATTTTCCTTGTTCCAGCAATGAATCAAACGGACACCCTGTACCAGCGAATACATCTCTTTTATCCTCGCTTATGAATAAGGTAAGATCCATCCATCAAACGCCTTTCATCCCAAGACAAATTAGCGGGACACGGAGGGGCCTGTTTGTTTTTTAATGTTTCACCGCTAATAAGATGAGTTTGTATCATTTAAATTTTCCAGCCATTTTTCATACGGTGTAATTTTCACTGCACCTCTCACAAATTAATATAATGAAGCAGGAGCTGGGTGCCATGCCAGATATATAGAGATGTTTGTTTTTTGATGAGCTGTTCTGAACTTGCCGTCCATTTTTTTTTCTTCCCCCCTTTATATTTTTCCTTCCCCGCCTCACTCCGCATTTATTTATGGAGTTTATAAATTATTTGATTAAAAAGTCGGAGGAGGGGGAAAAAAAAGAAAAACACAGGAAGGCGCTGCCCTCATTTTTTAACAAGTCTAAATGTTAGCGTATGGAAATTTGAATGTGTGTATGTTCTTGTGAAGATTAAAATGGACGTGGTTTTAGCCATATATCTTATCTGACTGATACAAATGTTCTGGGTGGTTTCCATCACATTGATGATGTAATGGCAGATTAATCTCCATTTTTTTTTGCTCTCAACAACTGATCAAAACCTCCTCCCTCTCCACTGTATGCTTATTTTGCATATACACACATTGTTTGTTAAATGTTTTCCCAGTCATTAAACACAAGCAATTCAACTCTGTCATATTAGACTTCTGGAGTCTCGAGTCGAGCCACATAAAAAACTTAACAGATGCCTCCAGACATTGCTTAGCAAACATGTCTGGCCTGAACTCAAGGAAAAGCCTGGATGTTTGTCATTCTGGCTGCTCTCTGTAGATTTGCCAGATTCAGCATGCATTTGTTTGTTGGTTTTCTCAGCGTCACTAACGTATGCGAGCAGCGATCTTAACAAATGCTCGGCTAACCCAGCGGCTGGTGCTTTGTGTGTGTTGTGTGCATTGTAGATGTCGCAGGTGAACCCTGCCCTCTTCAACGCCATTAACCTAAAAACAGAGCTGGAGGGTGGACAAGCCAACGACTCCTCCGAGGCAGCACAGTATCTGAGCCGGGTGCTGAAGAGGCCAGAACACCCCAATGAGATCTGGAGGACATACCTTCGCAGGTAAAAACGTATATATTTTTGCATATGAAAGCTGTAAAAATACCTAAAAGCACCATCTCAGGGAGTTGTTTTTTTTTTTCTTTTTGAGTGGAATCCCCTTGAAACGTTAATAATCCAATCCTGTCAGAGTAGAGTGAGTTACAGTCAGATAGACCTCCAGACATTTACTGTCAGAAGACAGGACGAGCCAGTTATTATCTTTGTTTGAGAAGCAAATACATTTTTAGTCTTTTCTTTTATCTGTTTATGTAAAGGTTTGACACGGATGACTTCTGTGAGGCTCATTGTGACTTTCTTCAGAAAGTGCACTTTCATTGTGTGGTAGAGGACTGTGGTGCGCTCTTCAGCACTGTGGATGGGGCCATAAAACACGCTAAGTGAGTGTCACGCCGGTTCTTGTTTGGAAAATACACCGCTTTGCTTTATTAATCAGTGTAAAAACGAGGTTCCTTCTCGCCCCTCAGCTTCCACCTTCGAGCCACCTTGAAAGTGAAGCCGGAGTCGCAGTTCAGCGACAGCAAAGAGTCCAGCGAGGCAGCGCCCCTGCAGCCAGTCGCCCCTGTCTCTATAGCCAGTAATCCTTCCATGGATGTGGCAAACCTCACCTCCTCTGGTGGCTACAGCTCTCCTCCTCCCTCTTTGCTGGCCTGGAAGCAACTGGCTGGCAGCATCCCTCAGATGCCCGCTTCAATGCCCAACCTTCCGGCAAACTCCCCTCTGGCCACCACCTCCTTGGAGAACGCCAAGCCACAAGTCAAACCTGGTTTTCTGCAGTTCCAAGAAAAGTATGCGAAGCTCCATGTATTGTTGTTGTTTTCCCCCTGCGAATGTGATTTAACCGTATTTTTCATTTTTATTCACCCAGCGATCCATGCCTGGCTACTGACTGCAAGTACTCAAACAAGTTCCACTTCCACTGCTTGTTCGGGAACTGCAAATACGTGTGCAAGACCTCCGGAAAGGCAGAGTCCCACTGTTTGGACCACATCAACCCCAACAACAACCTGGTCAACGTCCGCGACCAGTTCTCCTACTACTCTCTTCAGTGTCTCTGTCCCAACCAGGTGAGAGCAGCTCTCTAACCGAGCCAGGAGCCACATCACAAACTGTCATCTCTCCGAGCTTTCTAACTGTGAAGTATGCTATCTATTAGACCAGTATTTGAGGTTATTTGACTCGAGGCTTTCACAACCACTGCTCCTCGTCTTCCATCTCTGCTGAGAAAGACAGTCGACTCACCCCAGTAATGCCTGTTTATATGTCAATGATGTCATTTTGACTGCCGCATTCTCCTCTCAGAAAAGGCCAATTTAGCTGATATTACCCAATAAATCATTGTCACTCGCACAGTAAACAAGGCTGTCTGGAATAGGGCAAAAATCAGGGGAATGCTTGGCAAATGAAACCTAAATGGCATCCCCCTGCCTGCTCTCATGAGCCAGTATTTGGAGAACGTTTAAATGAATTCATTAATGTGTCGAAAATCACCCATCTCACAAAAAGTCCCTGCCTCCTCCCCACCCCCTTCCCTCCGCTCCCCCTTCTTCCTCCATTTAGTCTCCAGAACTGAGCAGATCTTATTTGGCCTGGTCCTTTGGGATCCGAGCCTCACAAACAGATGGCAGTGTACAGACATGTTAGAGAAAAGGAGGGGGCTTGTGGGGCGTGATGGAGGAAAGTAATTGTACTTAGAAATGTGGGATGTTTCCAACGGCCAAAAAGGAGAAAAAAAAAGGTGTTGACTTTTGCAGACAAGATAAATCAAACCAAATTAATCATCCGTCTTTGACTTGTTTGTCTCCACTCACAGCACTGCGAGTTTAGAATGAGGGGCCACTATCACTGTCTGAGGCCCGGCTGCTTCTTCGTCACAAACATCACAACCAAGCTGCCGTGGCACATCAAGAAGCACGAGAAGGCAGAACGTCGAGCTGCCAACGGCTTTAAATATTTCACCAAGAGGGAGGAGTGCGGAAGGCTGGGTAAGAATGAAAATTACTTTGATCCTGAGAGCATTTTGGCCACAGAAAACTCCGAGTCATCACGACCAGCATTTTTTATCATGTGTGGATTAAAAGGTGTTATGGCGAGGACAATGTAGATTGATTTGGGCTGCCTGTTGCAAGAAGATGTTCTGTGTTGACAAAGGGAGAGAGACCACTGTTGGCAAACAGGGTGCCGAGCTTTGTAAGCGGTTTAATGGTCGTAAAACAAGGCTGCCTTGTAGATTTTTGTCTCTTCGTTTTTGTATATTCACAATGGCACCTCAAGTCCCAAAGGAAGTCTCGCCTGTACTGCTTTATGAGCAGTAATGTCAAAGAGGGCAATCACATCCAGGTTGTTTTCCTCTTTCTTTTGCCCCCGTCAGAAATGAGCAATTAGGTTTGTGTTTGTTAATTATCTGGCTTGTCTGGTTTGGCCTGTTTGTGCTGTGAAGCTGCGCCTCACAGCCACCGCTGCCATCACACAAACACACACACACACATGCAGAAATGAATTAAAAGTGATCTGTTTTTTTCAGGCGGTTACACAAGCTTTTCAGAACGCAGACACAAAAGCAAACAAAACCGAGCCCTAAACAGCTGTTTTTTGTCCTCAGCCTGATCTGCCAACTGTATTGTTTGGCCAGAGAGGAGAGAAAGAAAAAAAAAACAAACACAACAAAAACAGAACGGATTACCAACACTGGCGCTGTCGTCATAAAGAATTGATGGCTTGTCAGTATCCATGGCAGCAACATTAAACTGAACACCGCTGATGATGTTACCTGGTTTCTGTCTCACAAAAGGGCCTCCGTGTCACAGGGGTTACTGTTATTTGCACAACTTTGCGTGTCTAAAAAACGCCGCGCGTGTGTGTGTAAAAGCTATTCGATGACACAAGCATGTTTTTCCTCTTAAACTGGGTGCCATGGTTACTGACATGCTAACACCTGCCCGGCACGTTACTCTTTCAATTATTTCTGCCTGCTTTTATATAATGGTATTCGATTAACAGGCACAAAACGGAACGATCATTTAATTTGAAATCATAAAGCAATTAGAGGTAGACCAGTTAAAACAAGAGAAAAGAACATAAGACTGTGAAGCAGACAGCAGAACGACGCAGAACAAAGGGAGAAACGACAATGGAGATACTTTGAGAAATGAATTTAATATGGTAATAATCGTATATTTACTTTGGTTTGGAGGGATGTGTGCATTATTGGCCCACAGAAAATGAGAATTTATTTATGTAAATTCCTAACTGAATAAAGCATGTCAGTGTAATAAAAGAGCTCCACAGGTTTAGTGCACAGAAGCCTTGACTTGCTCAGTGTGACACCAGTGATCTAATAATCCTCCTACGTGTACACTCCAAAACACTTTAAAACCAGATCCCTCTTTTGTCTGCACTATATCATGAAATTTAAAACAAATAAATAAATAAACAAAACTAAAAATATTTCACTTTGTGTAAAATCTAATCAGAACGCCTTCGCACCGGGTTTGTTGCCTTTTAGCGCTTTCGCTGGTTTCGGATGCCTCGCCACGAGCCGAAGACGAATCCATCCGCTAACGGAGAGCTGACAGCTGTTGTTTGTTTTCTCTTTGGCAGGTTGTAAATACAACCAAGTCAACAGCCACTTCCACTGCATCCGAGAAGGTTGCCAGTTCTCCTTCCTGCTGAAGCACCAGATGACCTCGCACGCACGCAAACACATGAGGCGGATGCTGGGGAAGAACTTTGACCGGGTCCCGTCCCAGGTACCAACACAGGAACAAACCGCTGCGATGCCCGGTTTCATTCAGAAAATCAAATGCATTGTATTGCATTGCGGTTTTTTTTTTTTTTTCAAACTAGAAATATTTCCGTGTAATTTAGACACATTTCTATTTTTTTCCCTATTGTTTTGTTGTTTGTGTTTCCTGTAAACTGTCAGATTCTGGAAAGATTCTCTTAAAAACAAGAGTACCAGTAATTTTTAGTCATACCAGTCAGTGACACATTGGGTGCGACATCCTTTTATAGAAATTTGCTCACTGGAGTGAACACAGTCTTTTTCCTCTAAACCACCGAAGCACATTATGTACTCGGATTTAAGCATGTCGATTTTCTTGTTTTGTTTGTTCCTTTTTTATTGTATTGAAGTCGTCATAAGACAGAACTAGGAGGTTCATTTTTTTAATACTTTTGACTTCCAAAGAATTCTTGTTTGAATGCCAAAAACCAACACTCCTAAAAATGTCTAACAAAGTAGTAGTCTAGAGATGACTTCTTTTTTTTCCCCCACTCAGGTGATGCCGCTTGGTCAGAGAGTGGACGAGATGCAGCACGCAACCAGTTTGGTGTCTGGATCCATGGCAAACCAGCCTGGGATTGCCTCCAGCTACTCCTCTGCTGTCATCGATGAAACCGATGACTACTTGGACTACATGGGAGGGGGAGGAGGCAGCCCCTTGGGGCTCTCCTCTGAGTCCTCCAACCAGGACCGAAGCTGCACCAGCACTCCTGTAGGGATCGACAGCTCTCCAGCAGGTGAGAAGTGCACCTCTTCTTGGCTCGGTTTTGATTTAGTGTAACGATCAAATCAGGTTTTCCACAGCCTCGCTTAATCCACGCTTTAGCTTCTTCTGTCAGAAAACCAGTAACTCATCATTTCATCCATTTGTTAATCATGCTTTTCCTGTATGAGTTGTTTGACTTACGATCAATAAATATGAGTCATTATACACGAGGCTGATGACGAATGCTGTTCTCTTTTGTTCTGAGTTGTGGACGAGACATTTTGCAGTTTGCTTGGTCATCGTCATAAAACCTCCATTCTGAGCATCGATGGCCTGAGTTATCGATCTTAAGAAACGTTACAGCTTTTTCTTTTGGCCAGAGATCACCATGCCTGTGGCCTGATGCCAACTTTAGCAATTTTAGTTGGCTGAACAGAAAAAATAAAATAAAATAAAATATAAAAATTGTAATCAAAAAATGCTTCTATTTTCTCAAACTTTGTTCCATTTGTTCTTTTTAATCTAAGCCTGGCTGTGATTTTCACATTTCCTCACATGTTGCCAATATGATCCACTGCTCTCATCATTGTTGTTTGGCCTGCTCTTTGGGTTACTTTGTCTTGAATGGGCCTCATTTGTTTCATTCTCTTATCTTTTATCTTTCCCCTTTTACCTCCCACCCCTTTGTGTGTGTGTGTGTGTGTGTGTGCGTGCGTGCGTGCGTGCGTGTGTGTATGACTTGGCCCCTGTTTTTATGTCTTTCCCCCCCTTCTTGCCTGTCTTTCACCCCTTTCTGGTCCACCTGTCTCTCCAGGACAAGGCTACCCCACCACCACTTCTGCTCCTACCACCCCTGCTGACACTAGCGCTACCCACAATGCACCTCCTTCTTCCCCTCCTCCACCACCTCCTCTGCCGCCACCACCGCCTCCTTCCTCCGCTCCTCAGCCTGGCCTCCAGTTCCAGGCCCCATCTCTCTCCCCCGCGCTCCTCCGGCCTCCTCTCCCCTCGCTCCCATACCTCCTCTCTCCATCCTGTCTGTCATACTCTCTGCTCAGCGCCTCTCTGGGAGCCACTCGGAGTGTTGTCATGCCAACCAACACACCAGCTTTCAGCCCCATCATTGCCACTCCGTCTCCGGTTAAAAATGACGTCCCTATAGTGCAGGATGCTGCAGGTACTTATCCCCGGCACAAACCAACTCTGCAGCTGTCACTCTCATTTACTGAGTCCTTTGCAACGTTTAACTGTGTGATCTTACACTTTTTTTTCTGCAATATTGTTCTGGAGGGATGAAAGAATAAGGGGCACATAGAAAAGGAAAATTTATGTGAAATTAATGCAGCTAAAAGAATTGATAAACTTGTTCCAATGGCACCTTTGTGTGTGCTCTCACTTTTGGCATTGCTAAGACTGAACCACAGAGCTGTAAATTTGGCACCTGCTCCACGAAGCCTGGGCCTTGTTTAGTTTCCATTAACAAGGCTGCATCAGCAGCTTCTTATTTTAATCACGCCTCAAGTTTTATCGAGGCCCACTGCTTCCTGTCGTACAGAACAGGGATCGCATCATTAGCAGTGACCCCAGGGTGTTGCAAAAGGTGGGTGCCCCCTCATAAAACAACGCAGAGATAAGAGGATTGGTTAAGACTCACTGCTCCGTCTTTGTTTGGAGGCTGGAGACACTCTGTAAAAGTGTCATGTTCCACAGTCAATCTATCATTTACCCCCCCTCCCTTAATCATTCTGGGAATTAGGAATAAAAAAAATTATGGCTCTCTGTGCTTACTCAGCTGCGAACCACTTCTGGCTGAGTAGAGTTCAGCATTAGAGTTTTAACCTGGACAGTAATTTGCTTGTAGTTTGTGGGTTTTACTTTGCGAGTCGGCTGATTATGCTTTAATGTGCTTGCTTCTTTCTTTTAGGCAACACCATCACCATGCCCACGGCCGTCGGCGCGAAGAAGCGCTTCTGGATCATCGAGGACATGTCGCCGTTTGGCAAGCGCCGCAAGACTCCCTCGTCCCGCAAGATGCTGGACGAGGGGATGATGCTGGAGGGCTTTCGGCGCTACGACCTGTACGAGAACTGCAAGGACTCGACCTGTCAGTTCTCCCTGAAGGTCACCCACTACCACTGCACGCGCGAGAACTGCGGCTACAAGTTCTGCGGCCGCACCCACATGTACAAGCACGCGCAGCACCACGACCGCGTGGACAACCTGGTCCTGGACGACTTCAAGCGCTTCAAGTCCTCGCTCAGCTGCAACTTTCCGGACTGCCAGTTTTCCGGCAACAGCACCCACTTCCACTGCCTGCGCTGCGGCTTCCGCTGCACCGACAGCACCAAGGTGACGGCCCATCGCAAGCACCACGGCAAGCAAGACGTGATCAGCGCCGCCGGCTTCTGCCAGTTCAGCTCCAGCGCAGACTGCGAGGTCCCCGACTGCAAATATAAGCTCAAGTGCTCGCACTTCCATTGCACCTTCCCGGAGTGTAAGCACACGGTGGTGGGGATGTCCCAGATGGACTCCCACAAGAGGAAGCACGAGAAGCAGGAGCGAGGTGAGCTGCCGTCGGTGTCACCGAAACAGGAAGGAATGCACCACCTGGCAGGGAACGTGGCGGCCGTCGTCCCTTCCTCCCTGAGCCTCGCTACTTCCTCGCCTGGCGGCCTCCACGGGTTGTCCCACAACATCAACAGCAGCGCCCCCTCCATGGTCTACCAAACGGGCAGCATCGCCTCCGAATACAACCATTCTTACCCACCATCCTCCATCAGCCTGGACAGCTCGCTCAACCTGGGCACTGACACCAGCAGCTCCTTGTTCTTCCTGAAAAACGCAGCCGGTCTGGGTCTCAGCGACTCGCTGGACCTCAGTAAGAAGATGATGTGCCGCAACCCCGCACCCCACCTGGGTCTGCCAGCCGCTCACGACGACACCACGGGGACGTCCGGAGAGGCGGAGGACGACATGTCACCAGAGGAGGAGGCGAACGCTGAAGAAGAGGACGATGAGGAGGAGGACGAGGAGGAGGAGGAAGACGAGGCCGAGGATGATCTCAACAGCGACTCTAATGATGATTCACTGGCAGAGCCCGATGGCGAAAAGGACGACGACGAGAATTTTGTTGCTTCCATTAACCACACTCATACTTCCCACTTGGAAAAGCAAGACATTGACCCATAAAAAACAAACAATATAAACAAACAAACATAAAAAACAAGAGAGACTGTAGGAACTACAGAAAAGACCCTGTGTACAATGAACAGACAAAAGAAAGTGGCCTCATTCATCCTGTTTAGAGACTTCCAATGACAAAAAAAATAAAAAAGTACAAAAACAGCAGCGTTAAGAAAACGATGGCTCAAAATGATTCATCATGATGTTTACAAAATGACCAACATTATTAATTCAATTATGCATTAAATCTATATATATATAAATGAAGACACACACAGAGTTAGGCCCCTCCCCGTTTTACATGTCGGGACAGCAATGTAAAGCATTTTACAACACATCAGTCTTTTTGTGTGCGTGCATGTTTGACTTTAATTTATTTTTATTCTTTTGTTTTTTTTTTCACATTTTTGTGTGTGAAAAAAAAACACTTTAGAAAAACAAAAAACAAATCTCTCTATATAACTATATAATGTAGGTGTGTGTGTGTGTGTGTGTGTGTGTGTGTGTGTGTGTGTGTGTGTGT